CAAACCGCAAGCACTCAGGCACACCATCACAGTTACGCGAAGTCTTCCCGCAGTAAGCGTATTTCCCAAACAAGACTTCAGAGTAAATATTCCACCATTGTACCATCGTATGACTCGTCCAAATACACTTTACGCATTACAACACGAACTAGGGACTTGCACGGCGCAGCAGAGAAGGTAATGCCACCGTATGTCGATATGAATGTAGACCATTTTGCCAAAAGACCGGACTTACGGTAGGATTTTTTCACGGGCAAATAAATCAGCATTTCCAATGTATTTACATCACCATAATACTTCAGGTATTACTGAACAACCCGAATCACTTGATGCTTCGTGTCGCACACATGGCCCACACGGCTTCGGACGCGTGATGGCATTTACGCATGACGACTAAACATGGGGTATGAGCCAGGCCACGTCGCCAAATCATCATAGCGTCACACACACACACACACACACACACACACACACACACACACACACACACACACACACACACACACACACACACACACACACACACACACACACACACACACACACACACACACACACACACACACACACACATATATATATATATATATATATATATATATATATATATATATATATATATATATATATATATATATATATATATATATGGCTTATAGATGGCGCTGATTGACACTCCTACTTCTAAATTCACATATAAACAAAAAAAGTGGATGGAGGGAAGGCCGCTGTGATAGCTCAGTGGTTAGAGCATCGAACGCGTTATGCGAAGGTCGTAGGTTCGATTACTGCTCACGGCTGGTTATTTTTTCACCCACCTTTCTTTCTTCTTCTTTACATTCCATTTGTTCTAATAACTTTTGTTCTAACATTGTTCTAATAACATTTGTTCTAATGACGTACGGGGCGGAGCCATGCCCACTGCCTCGTAATATCACCCCCGGTGGACGAAGCGCCGTGACGGCGCCGCTAAGTCAATCAGGACTGGCAGTGTAGTAGCGTTTTAGTCGCGACACATGAACAACATCAGTAGGTGGTGTGGCAGAAGATGAGTGTGGTTCAATGGGAGGGATGAGGTAGTCGACGTCGGTGACCTTGCGGAGAACTTTGTAGGGCCCGGTTTATCGTGGAAGGAGCTTCTCGCACAAGCCTTCACGCCGATGCGGCGTCCAATGTAGGACGAGAGAGTCAGCAGGGTATTCAACGTCGCGGTGTCGGTCATCGTAGCGGACTTTTTGTGAGGCCTGAGAAGCAGTGAGCCTAGTGCGCGCGATTTGGTGAGCGACGCGGGCTTGAGAAGCAACGTCCTGAGCATACACCGTTGGTTTCGTAGTATCATAAGGAAGGAGTGTGTCTAATGGCAACGCGGGGTTGCGGCCGTACTGAAGAAAGAACGGAGAATAGCCGGCGGTATCATGCCTTGATGAATTGTACGCAAACGTAACGTAGGGGAGCATTGCGTCCCAGTCACGGTGATCATCAGAGACGTACATGGACAACATGTCTGTAAGAGTTCGGTTGAGGTGCACCGTGAGACCTTTGGTCTGGGGATGGTAGGCAGTAGTAAGGTGATGTTCGGTAGAGCAGCTACGGAGGATTTCGTCGACAACTTTTGCGAGGAAGCAGCGGCCACGATCCCTCAGAACCTGACGCGGAGCCCCATGCCGCAGAATGACGTCATTCAATAAAAGTCTGCGATGTCTGTAGCGCAGCTACTTGGCAAGGCACGAGTTACAGCGCATCTGGTCGCCTAGTCAGTTGTGACAGCGATCCATTTGTTGCCTGACACGGATGTTGGGAAAGGCCCGAGCAAGTCAAGGCCAACGCGGAAGAATGGTTCCGGGGGAATGTCGATAGGTTGGAGCAGGCCAGCCGTACGGAGAGCAGGACGTTTGCGACGCTGGCAGCGCTCGCAAGCAGCGACATACGGGCGCACAAATTTATACAGGCCAGGCTAAAAGGACCGTTGCCGCACGCGGTGATAGGTGCGTGAAAAACCCAGGTGTCCTGCCGTCGGAGCGTCATGCAGATGTTGAAGAATGGTGACACGCAGGTGTCGGGGAATAACTAACAAAAATTCCGGGCCATCAGGCTCCATGTTGCAGTGGTACAGAATTTTGTTGCGGAGGACATATTGACGGAGCGAAGGGTCGGAATGTCCTGAAGATACTCACTCAATGACCGTCTGGTGGGTTGCGTCCCGGCGCTGCTCTATGCCGATGTCGCACAAATCGGATCTGGCGAGCACACAAGAATCGCTCTCATGGACAGCGAGGCTAGCACTAGGGTCCACCGGATAACGCGAGAGACAATCGGCATCTTGGTGTAATCTGCCAGACTTATAAATTACGTCGAAGTTATACTCCTGGAGACGTAGAGCCCAGTGACCTAGGCGACCAATTGAGTCCTTGAGCGACGACAACCAACACAGAGCGTGGTGGTCCGTAATAACTGAAAACTCCCGGCCATACAAGTAGGGGTGAAATTTCGCTACAGCCCAGACCAACGCAAGACGCTCGCGCTCCGTTATCGAATAGTTTCGCTCAGATGTGGAGAGAAGGCGGCTGGCATACGCAATAACACGCGTTTGGCCCCCTGGTGTTGAGCGAGGATGGCGCCGATGCCATGAGCACTGGCGTCTGTGCGAACTTCAGTCGTCGTGGACGGGTCAAAGTGAGCCAATATCGGTGCTGAAGTGAGCAGCTAGATCAGCGTGGAAAACGCAGGTGCTTGGTCTTGGCCCCACGTGAAGGGCGCATTCTTTTTGAGAAGATTAGTGAGTAGTCGTGCAATTGTAGCGAAATTGCGCATAAAACGTCAGAAGTACGAGCATAAGCCTACAAAACAACGAAAATCTTCGGTAGTATAAGGCAGAAGAAAGTTCTTGACAGCGCTAATCTTGTCAGGGTCCGGTTGGATGCCAGCAGCACTTACACGATGACCAAGGACCATGATTTCTCGTCGGCCGAAATCGCACTTTTTTGAGTTCAGCTGGAGTCCCGCTTGACGAAAACAGCTATAATGGTCGACAAACGAGTTAGGTGGCTTTCAAATGTTGGGGAAAAACAATCACATCATCGAGGTAGTAAAGGCAGATGGAGCATTATAATTACGGAGGAGAGAGTCCATCATGCGTTCGAACGTTGCCGGGGCGTTGCACAGCCCAAGAGGCATAACCTTGAACTGATAAAAGCCGTCCGGTGTGACAAAGGCAGTTTTTTCGTGGTCTAAGTTGTCGACAGAAATTTGCGAATAGCCCGAACGCAGATCTATAGATGAGAAGTATCGCGCGACATGAAGGCAGTCAAGGGCGTCGTCGATTCGTGGCAGCGGATATACGTCTTTGCGGGTTAACTTGTTCAAGGCACGGTAGTCAACGCAAAATCCCCAACTGCCATCCTTCTTTTTGACTAAAACAACAGGTGACGATCATGGACTTGAAGAGGCCTCTATGATTCCTTTGGAGAGCATCTTCTCGACTTCTCGTTGTATGACCTGCAACATTCGGACTGGGAAACACGATATGGTCGCCGTCAAACAGGACTAGCATCGCTGGTATGTATTTGGAGTTGTATTTGGAACTTTATGACTAGGTGGCGTGTGCCACCACGCGATCTAAAGCGCACTGCCGGATCCATCCATCCGTCCATCCATCCATCCATCCATCCATCCATCCATCCATCCATCCATCCATCCATCCATCCATCCATCCATCCATATCCATCCATCCATCCATCCATCCATCCATCCATCCATCCATCCATCCATCCATCCACCCATCCATCCATCCATCCATCCATCCATCCATCCATCCATCCATCCATCCATCCATCCATCCATCCATCCATCCATCCATCCATCCATCCATCCACCATCAAAAAAAAAAGCATAGCGGCTTCGTTCGAATCTGCCCTCCAGGATGCCAAAAAGTCCGCTTCTTTTTCCATTAAAACATAATCGCTGGTTTTCTGTCAATAAATAACATTGTTCTCCGTACTCACTCGTGAATTGTTTTTACTGGTGCCAGCTGCTAATAAATGTCTTTGAGTTCCTTTGTACGCAAAGGTACATATGGCGTGTTGCGAACGGCACTTTAGTGTATTGCTGGGCGTATCGACCCGCTTAAACAAGAGGGTGAAAGATAACGAGACACCATAACGAGACACACAGGTACTCGGCTGCTCAACTGCATGTCACGGGATCAGATCCCAGCTGCATTTCCGATGGAGGCGTAAATGTTGTAGGTTTGTATGCTCATATTTACGTGCACGTTAAAGAACCCCAGGTGCTAGCAATTTCTGGAGCTCTCCACTACGTTGTCTCTCATAATCATATGCTGGTTTTGGGACGTTAAACCCTGCATATTAATCAAATCATGTCCTGTCTTGTGTTTTTTGTTCTCCTTCGTTTGAGTTAACCCACTAATGTTTTGTTAAGAATTTGCTGAGGACATAGCACCCTGAAGACGAATTGCTTGCAAATCATGGCTGCTGAATCCTTGGCAGTGTTAGCTACTCTGCGCATGCGTAGCCCACATGCACATGCGGGCTCTGTTTCACGCGTGAAATGAATCAGTCGGAAGTGGCGCACAAGTTTGCGTGTTTGTTTCTCTCGTGTTTTTTACTAGTGCTATAATTTCACACAGTAAACAATACGAACTAAACCGAAACAAAATTCAGCTAAAATTCGATGACGGAACACGTCTAACTAGAACAGACTTGGCGCGCCCTTAGTCTACCTGTGCGTCTACAGTGCTACACATCATTCTTTTTTTCCTCAGGCCACGCTGTTTAATGCATGGAGCACGCAACTTGAAGGCACAATAGGTTGACATTGATTTTACTACTATTGCGTGCTATTCCATGGAGTACTGGCGTCTTCGATAATAAGTCTGTGATGACAGAAAAACAAAAACAAAAATAGATTGCTTGCGCTTCGCATTGATTTCTAACAAGGAATGAGTGAATTGTATTATTTTAAAATTTTTATTCTGTTTCACTCTAGTCATGTAGGATAGCGTAGTGAGGTTGCGAGGTTACACCTTCTATGTAACCTCTTATTTTCTTCAACGGCGCCAAGAAATATTTCAACACCTCCATTTCAGCAAGCCTGCAAGAGAGAAGCCAACGTGCGAAAATTTAGTCTAAAACACTTGGCACACAGACCCAAGTAGTTATACAGAACCCTCCACTGTACCGGCTCTATGATTATGTCTTCTCATGTGACAGCTGTATTGATTGGCTTTGGTTGAAACAGAGTGATGCCAACCAAAATACAGCGGGTATAAATTTTTCCGCGTTATGAGAAATTGCATACTTTCAGAAAACAATAAACTTTTAAGAAATCATCTGGATCGATGGCAACTGATTATATACCTGCATTCACGGTGCGAGAGCGATGTTTAGCAGCGTAACTCGAGATGAACATTATGATGTGCAAGAGATACTTATCTCCTCCGTCTTCTCCCGGTACAATGTCAATGAGAACTAACAGACAATAATGCCAGGGAAAGTATAGGTGATACTATTTGAAGTAATTGTAACGTAAAGGAGAATAAACAAAATAGATAAAAAGATAACTGGCCACAGGCAGGATACGTACCTGTGACCTTTGATAACCGCCACCGTAGATCAGTGGTAGAGCATCGAAAGTCGACGGTTATTCGAAGGTCGTAGGTTCGAATCCTGCCCGCGGCAAGTTATCTATTCATCCACTTTGTTTTTTTTTCTTATTTACGTTACAATTACTCATTATGCCTGCGCCGAAGTCACGGCGCAGGCATAACGGCACGTGTGTAGCAGTGCAGCCAACTGAACAAAAAAGCAGAAAGGGTTTTTAGCGACCATCGTCGCTGCTGCCATTCCCTGCCCACTGAATTGTGGCGAAGTCGGAAGGCGGCTTAAATAGGCCATGCTGGATGCGGTCGATGTCCCTCTGGCGGCTTGGGCAGCGTCCCCTTGCGGAGACACGTATGGAGGCAGGTCACATGGCGCAGAATGGATCGTTGCTATCTCCAGGACCGGGCGTTCTTCAGCAGCATTTGGGTGCGCCGAAGTCACGGCGCAGGCATAACGGCACGTGTGTAGCAGTGCAGCCAACTGAACAAAAAAGCAGAAAGGGTTTTTAGCGACCATCGTCGCTGCTGCCATTCCCTGCCCAGTTTCAAAACTGCCAAAGTAATCATAATAGTCTGGACCAAGCCGGATCGTGTTCCCCAAACAAAAGTGAAGGTCAGTCTTCAACGTAGCTAGATGTGCGCACACAAGCTGATGCTATTGAGCGGGAAATTTCCTTTCTCCTTTGTAATGTAAGGAGCGTAATGAACAAGCGTGACGAATTATTATCCCTTGTTCATGCGTGCCTGGCAGATGTAATCATACTGACGGAAACTTGGTTGTCAGCGAAAATTGATAGCAGGGAAGTTTTGCATGGTGCAAAAAACTACGTTCTTTATCGGTACGACCGGGGTAGCCGTTCTGGCGGAGGTGTCTTAATTGCGGTATCAAATGAATTTGTGTCTTTCAAAGTTAATGTCGCTTCTGAACTTGAATTAGTTTGTGTGTGCATTCGCCTGCACCACAAAGACTACATTCTTTGTGCCTGCTATCGGCCTCCAAATTCTTCTTCAGGCTTTTCCGAGATATTTCATGATGTTTTAAATAAGATACATATTAGATTTCCTGCTGCAGTGTTTTTTGTTCTGGGAGACTTCAATCTGCCCGATATTTCTTGGTGCTTACCCCAACCAAGTGCTAGCTCCAGCTCGTCTGAAAGTGCATCTTTTGTCAGTGTGTGCTCAGATTTCAATCTAATGCAACTTGTCAATTACCCGACCCGTGTTACTACTACCAGCTCAACTATTCTAGACTTAGTCCTCACAACTCACCCAGATCTTGTTACATCCCTTTCTGTGATACCTGGTCTCAGTGACCATTCAGCAATCCACTTTACTATTCCCAACAGGAATCCCAGACGACAGAAAACCTCCAAAACATTCAGAGACTACAAACGTGCAGACTATGCTGCAATAAATAAGGAGCTTGAAATATTCACCTAAGAACTGTTTCAAGATTTTGATCGGCGTAAATTGAGCTGATGTCTGAAGACGACTGTATGATCCCAAGTGAAGTGTGCTGCGAAGCCTTAAATACGGTATTTTCGTCGGTATTTGTAACCTGTACGCCATACTGTTCGCCCCCTTTCCCTGCCTGCAATTATTTACCCATGGATCCATTAATCATAGACTGGGTGGGTGTTGCCAAATTGATAAGGAATCTGAAACCTTCCTCCCCCGGAGATGATGGTATTAACCCCAAATTCTTAAAAAATACTGAAATGTTATCCGCTATAATTCTATCTAAGATTTTTTTACAGTCTCTGGAAACTTCTGCAATACCACAGGATTGGAAGGTCGGGAAGGTGGTTCCTTTGCCCAAAACAGGTAACACTCACAATCCCATCAATTACAGACCCATATCGCTCATCAGTGCACCATGTAAAATTGTTGAGCACATTATCTACAGCCATTTAGTCCGCTTTCTCGAAAACAATTCCTTTTTTAGCGAATTCCAACATGGTTTCAGAAAAAATTACTCCTGTGAAACTCAGTTACTTAGCCTCACTAACGACCTATTTTGCGCCGCTGACCGTTCTTCAGTTATCGACTGCGTATTTATCGACTTCGCGAAAGCATTCGATACCGTTTGTCATAAACTACTGCTTTCTAAATTAAACTCAATCAATCTAGATGTAAATATTCTCAAATGGTTGGAGTGTTTTTTAAGTAACCGCACACAATACGTAGTTGTTAATGGCTTTATTTCCACGCACTGCTCTGTTACGTCTGGTGTGCCGCAAGGTTCTGTCTTAGGTCCCCTATTATTCTTAATTTATATTAATGACTTGCCGAATACACTATCATCAACTATTAGACTCTTCGCGGACGACTGCGTAATTTACAGAGAAATTTTGGATTCCGCCGACCAAAGTGCGCTACAATCTGACCTTAATAAGATTTCTACCTGGTGCAATACATGGTTAATGAAACTGAACACAAATAAGTGCAAAGTAATGCGAGTAACCCGTCAAAAACATAATTCTACAGCGTGCACCTACATACTCAACCACGACCCCCTAACCAAAGTGTCATGTTACAAATATCTTGGCGTGTACATCTCGGATAACCTTTCTTGGCAAACACACATCGATCATATCACAAGCGACGCTAACCGCATGCTCTGTTTTTTACGACGAAACTTTGCTCTTGCACCAGCAGATATAAAACTCGTTTTATACAAAACTTTAGTTCGGCCAAAGCTGGAGTATGCGTCGTCGATCTGGGACCCGCATATCAACTCGTTACTCCATGATATCGAAGCTGTCCAGAATCGTTCCGCACGCTTCATCTTATCAAACTATTTTCGTACGGCTAGCGTCTCGTCCTTGAAATCTTCCATTAACCTACTTGATCTGTCTGTTCGCAGGAAAATATCACGGCTTTGTCTTTTTCATAAAATTTATCACGCCAAATCAACGCTCAAAGATTCGATGCTTTTTCCTCCTACTTATCATTCGACAAGAAACGACCATCAGTTCAAGGTTGGCGTACCCAGCAGCCGGACAAACTATTATTTCAACTCATTTATTCGCAAAACCAGCTCGGACTGGAACCACCTCCCCACCTGCATTGCTTCAATAATTAATCCAGCCAATTTCAAGGTGGCTATTAGTGGCCATATTACCTGAATTTTTTTTTCCCGCGAATTCCGCGGTTTTGTGTAAATCCTGCTCGGTTGTTCCCGTGTACGGCAAATGTTTTTAATTTTGCGCCTTTTGATTTCTCCTTTCTGTTGTTTGTTTACTTTTTTTTCCAGTTTATGTGGATATTTCAAATATGTTTCATATGTGTAACCACACTCCTGCTGCATTGTATACCTGTAGAGTGTTTTAACCCCCACTCCTCTCTGTAATGCCCTTGGGCCCTGAGAGTAAATAAATAAATAAATAAATAAATAAATAAATAAATAAATAAATAAATAAATAAATAAATATCAGATACCCTAAACTTTCTCTGGCATTAATGTCTGTTAGTTATCATTAATGTTGTGTCTAACAACGAAAACGAGCCCTTAAATTTACGCTACTTGTACAATGTTGTTACAGGCTGTTCGGTATTAAATAGTTGACGCTGCAGTGTAGGCATACGCATAGAACATTAGCTGCATGCGTGAGAAAGTCGTATCGCATACTTTACAAGTACATCATTGCTGAGTTATTATGCTTCATCTATTGCTGGAAGAAGCCTCCCAAGTATTTTTTTTTCTTCGCCATTTTCATTTCTTTTCTCGAAAACGGCGCATCCGGAGCATTTGTGGAAAGTTGATTGGTTTATGAAAAGACACGATTTTTCGAAAGAAAAAAATATGCATTATATATCTATTAGCGTCCCTCAGTTTCAACCAAAACCCCTCGATTCCACGAAAAATTGACACGGACCCAAAAATGAATTGTTTAGGTTTGATTAGAAATTTTATAATTTATGCACATACCACCAAAGCAGCCCAGAAAGGAACTAAGTTTTCTTATTAATTGCGTGAGTAACGACAAAAGATATTGAACATATTCAATTAGGAGAGCCTGATTTCATTACCGGTCGTTCTCGAAATATCACGATGATGTAAAACACGAACATTACTGTTACAAAGAGTACATTTTGTGTAAGAAATGTACAGGTGCACCCAAAATAATTCGGAGCGCCGGAGTGGTGCGCGCTCGTTGGCGGAGCGCACCGGTGAAAAAGTAGCGCGCCTGCGCGGTTTCCCTAGCAAGCGCGCCTCGTTCCCCAAAGCATCTAAATAGGTGTTGGTTTGCTTCAGGGGAATTGAGCTGGGTGCTTTTTAGCGTTTTGGATGCAGTCTCAACGCCCTGTGCGCGCGTATGCGCGTTAATGGACATCAGTTCTTTTGAAAGTGTACCTGGTTCATTAGTTGCCTAATGTGACCCGCTCATTTTGTGACAAGGCCTGTGGTAGCGAAAATCAGAAAGCGACATGCTGCACCTCAACCGTTCAATAAAGCACGTAAAAGTGTATTAGGTACCAAGTAACTTCG